AGAAGGTCAAAGTCACCACGCTGGGGTGAGGTCACACATGGAAATCTAGAATATAATAAGTTAACAAAAAAATATAAAGATGACAAAGAATACAAAGGAATGTTTACTTTTGAAGGACGGTTAAACTAAATATTTAACAATAATATGTAACAGGTTAGCGAAATCTCTGCCCTGGGATAACCTGTGGGATGAGATTTGGATAGTTTAATTTGTTCAGAGAGTACCAGGAGCAGAAAGTGTAATATGTGAATAAAATACAGGATTTTGGAAGAGATATTGGATCAGTATGCTTCCGTAGGAGTAAAACGAGTATGGTCGTTAACATTCTTTGTGACTGTGTAATGGGATTGTCCTCTATGTTTTAAAGCCACGTTCTGTATAATGTCTAGTGTTTGTAGACATTTACTGTAAAATTTACTTTTAAAAGTTGTATTTAAACACACTTAATCCTGATCTATATCTTATTTTTACAAAATACCATTCATTTCAAACCTGACTGGATTAATAATGCACACCTGGGCTCATAATGCACACCTGAAATAATAATGCACACCTTGGCTAATAATGTATGTGAATAAATCCCCATTTTGTACAATATTTCTTCCCTATTTCATTCGGTAGATTTAACTACCGAACAAAGACCACCCCCTGGCTCTTTAAACTTCAAAGACTGCTTCAATTAATCCCTCTATCTGTGCGGCCAGCGTTCGTACTAACGAACGCCACGTGGCTGAGAAAACCGCGGTCATCTTTGTTCATGTGAACAAAGGCAGCGGGACTTAGTCGTCGAGTGTCTGGAACTAAAATCGGACACTCGACTTCCCGAACACCGGTCTCAAACAGACGAACACTGGAACTCTACTTACCGAATAGCTAGAAGAGCGCTATTCGGTACTTTGGTGCATTCGAAAGAGGGGAACAATCGCTGCTGAGAGCCAGGGGGATCGATTCGGTACTTTATTCGCTTTTTCCCTTTTACTAAAGTGACCGGCAAAATCCACCAAACTCATGGAACTGTTTTGGGCAGCCAGCCCAGGGTGAGCCAGTCACAGAAGACTTCCACAGTTTTTGAGAACCCCTGAACCGATCTGGGTGAAATTTGAATATGTTGGTCACCCAGATCGGGGCTATCAGGTGACATGTTATTTGTGGGGATACCCCAAGTATAAAGAGGTGTTTCAGATATTGGGGAAAAATGTGATTTTTCTGCCTGGTGATAATCAAGTTAGTACTTTATCACACTTGATTATCTCCAGGGCTAGGGGAGGGAATTGTGGGAGTGTGTTATGTTTTTACGGTACTTGATTGGTTAATCTTTGTACCTCCCTGGGGGATGTCCCCTTGCATGGGGACTTGCATAAAAGCCTGTGTGCACTCATTAAAAGTTAGTTCAGTTGTACCCTTCTTCTTGACTTCGGCTGATGTTTGGGGATTCGTGTGTTTCATTAAGGGAATTATCTTATGAAACTACTGGGATTACTATACGATTCGTCTACTTTATCTACCGAACGGAGAGCTATAATCACTAATGCTCTGGCGGTTTGGGAGGAAACTACAGAATGAGGTTTAAATATGCTTGGTTTCCTTACAATGTACACTTGGAATAATAATGCACACCTGGATTAACAATGTATATCTGGGTTAACAATGTATACCTGGGTTAACAATGCACATCGGGGCTAATGATGCACACCTGAATTTATAATGCATACCTGGGTTAATAATGCACACCTGGATTAACAATGTATACCTGGGTTAATAAGGCACGTCGGGGCTAATAATGCACACTGGGGCTAATAATGTACTCCTGGATTAATAATGTGTTCCTGGACTAATAATATTTACCTAGCTTAATAATGTACACCTGGGATCACCGGGACTGATGATATTTACTTGGTCTAATAATGTACACCGAGGCTGATAATGCACACTGGGGCTAACAATGTACACCTAGATTAAAGGACCACTATAGTGCCAGGAAAACATACTCGTTTTCCTGGCACTATAGTGCCCTGAGGGTGCCCCCACCCTCAGGGACCCCCTCCCGCCCGGCTCTGGAAGGAGGAAAGGGTTAAAAACTTACCTTTTTCCAGCGCTGGGCGGGGAGCTCTCTGCTTCCTCTCCTCCTCCGTTCCTCCTTCTGGGCTGAATGCGCACACGCGGCAAGCGCTGCGCGCGCATTCAGCCCGTCACATAGGAAAGCATTTACAATGCTTTCCTATGGACGCTTGCGTGCTCTCACTGTGAAAATCACAGTGAGAAGCACGCAAGCGCCTCTAGTGGCTGTCAATGAGACAGCCACTAGAGGAATAGGGGGAAGGCTTAACCCATTCATAAACATAGCAGTTTCTCTGAAACTGCTATGTTTATAAAAAAATGGGTTAACCCTAGCTGGACCAGGCACCCAGACCACTTCATTAAGCTGAAGTGGTCTGGGTGCCTAGAGTGGTCCTTTAATAAAGTGTTCCTGGACTAATAATATTTACCTAGGTTAATAATGTATACCTGGATTAATAATGCACACAGGGTCTAATGATGCACACCTGGATTAATAATGCACACAGGGTCTAATGATGCACACCTGGATTAATAATGTATACCTGGGTTAATAATGCACACCTGGATTAATAATGTATACCTGGGTTAATAATGCACAACTGGATTAATAATTTATACCTGGGTTAATTATGCACAGCTGGATTAATAATGCACACCAGGGCTAATAATGCACACTGGGGCTAAAAATGTACACCTGAATTAACAATGTGTTCCTGGACTAATAATATTTACCTTGGATAATAATGTACACCTGGGTTAATAATGTACACCTCGGATCATAATGCACACCGGGACTGATAATATTTACTTAGGCTAATAATGTACACCGGGGCTGATAATGCACACGGGGGCTAATAATGTACACCTGGATTAATAATGAGTTCATGGACTAATAATATTTACCTAGGTTAATAATGTACACCTGGGTTAATAATGCACATCTGGATTAATAATGTATACATGTGTTAATAAAGCACACCTGGATTAATAATGCACACAAGGGCTAATAATGCACACTGGGGCTAAAAATGTACACCCGGATTAATAATGTATACCTGGGCTAATAATGCACACCTGGATTAACAATGTATACCTGGGTTAATAACGCACACCTGGATTAATAATATATACCTGGATTAATAATGTATACCTGGGCTAATAATGCACACCTAGATTAATAATATATACCTGGATTAATAATGTATACCTGGGCTAATAATGCACACTTGGATTAATAATATATACCTGGATTAATAATGTATACCTGGGTTAATAATGCACACCTGGATTAATAATGTATACCTGGATTAATAATGTATACCTGGGCTAATAATGCACACCTGGGCTAATAATGCACACCTAGATTAATAATATATACCTGGATTAATAATATATACCTGGATTAATAATGTATACCTGGGCTAATAATGCACACCTGGGCTAATAATGCACACCTAGATTAATAATATATACCTGGATTAATAATATATACCTGGATTAATAATGTATACCTGGGCTAATAATGCACACCTGGGCTAATAATGCACACCTAGATTAATAATATATACCTGGATTAATAATGTATACCTGGGCTAATAATGCACACCTAGATTAATAATATATACCTGGATTAATAATGTATACCTGGATTAATAATATATACCTGGATTAATAATGTATACCTGGGCTAATAATGCACACCTAGATTAATAATATATACCTGGATTAATAATGTACACCGGGGCTAATAATGCACACCTAGATTAATAATATATACCTGGATTAATAATATACACCGGGGCTAATAATGCACACCAGGACTAATAATGCACACTGGGGCTAACAATGTACACCTGGATTAATAATGTGTTCCTGAACTAATAATATTTACCTAGGTTAATAATGTACACATTGGATCATAATGCACACCGGGACTGATAATATTTACCTGGGCTAATAATGTACACCAGGGCTGATAACGCACACCTAGATTAATAATGCACACCTGGATTAATATTGTACACCTAGGCTAATAAAATATACCTGGATAAATAATGTAGACTGGGGCTAATAATATACACCTGGGCTAATAATATTTACATTGGCTGGTGATGCACAACGGGGTTAATAATGTACACCTGGGCTAATAATATACACCTGTGCTAATAATATTTACTTTGGCTAGTGATGCACACATAGGGGCTAATGATGTATACCTGGAATAGTAATATTTACTTAGGCTAATGATACACACACCGGGGCTAATGATGCACACCTGGGCTAATAATTATAGTAGACTTTGGTGATCTAGGGCACCAATAATAACACTGAGACAATAAAATGCTAATCCCTATCTTTCCCTGCAATATATTTTTCTCACTCCTGTTCTTCTGATATAAATAAATACGATAATTTAATGCTAACACATCTGGTAAGCAAAATGTTTATTTTTTTTTTTTTTTTTTTTTTTTTAAACAGGACTAGCCCAATACCGGTCTGTGTGAATCTCCTGTGCCCCCACCCCCCTCCCCCGGATTACAGGTAAATTATCCAGACCGATACAGAGACAGATGTAACCTCTCTGATGTCATCTGTCACTATCCCCCGCCTAAAACTGACAGAAATCAGTGACTACTAAACCGAATCAAGTCAGCCTGCCATCACTAGATATCAGTCACATTGATGGAACAAGAGGTGGCAGGAGAAGAATGGCTGAGGATGATATGAATGAGAGAAGTCAGGTGCTTGTCCTGGGAGTGTCCTTGGAAAGGGCCAAGGCTGGCTGCACCGCAGTAAGTGTTACAGAGCAGGATTTCTTAGTCCAGCCTCACAAGCTGAGATTCGGTAATCAGAGCAAGCTGATATGCTCCAGCCTTGATATATGCAGGAGGGAATGGGGACCAGTTGTTCATATTGATAAATAGAGCATGTTTCGTCGTTGAGTGAGATCCGTGATTGCACCAGGTGTGTGTGTCTTGTCCCACGGAGTGAACTTAATATTAATTCATCTCGTTCCCAAACCAACCAAGGGTGAAAACATCCAGCTGGCAGCAGGAAAGAGTTCATGGTCCCAACGAGATTGTTTCTGGAGCTCCATGTACACTTGGATTGTTCCATTTCATCATTTAGCAATATTCCCTCCTGGAAGAACATTAAAGGCCTATCGCCCGCATCTGATCAGCAAAATGTGTCTGATCTCACACCATAGGCTGCAGTAAAACATGAATCACAAGAGAAAAATCTAAAGTAATCTCATAAAGCAAAATGCAATATCGTCAACAGTCACAATGCTGGGAAAGAATGGGTTGTCCTCGGAGGGAAATATATATCAAGGCAGCAAAGGACATACCGCAGGGTAATGAGAAATATCGTAAATATAGTTATTCTCAGTATACAGAGAAAGGAGAGTACAGTGCCCACAGTATACGGAGATAGGAGAGTACAGTGCCCACAGTATACAGAGATAGGAGAGTACAGTGCCGACAGTATACAGAGATAGGAGAGTACAGCTCCCACAGTATACAGAGATAGGAGAGTACAGTGCCCACAGTATACAGAGATAGGAGAAGAGTATAGCTCCCTTAGTATACAGAGAAAGCAGAGTACAGCTCCCTCAGTATACAGAGATAGGAGAGTACATTGCCCACAGTATACATTTTGGGGGGGAGAGGGAGAGGGTTATATGTTCTTGCCTAATTATACTCTGTTTAACATGTATCCATTTTATCCAATGTACCAGTGCCTGTCTATCACTGGACATGGTCGTTACAACTGTATCATCAAAGAAGAGTGTTGGGGGAGTCTGAACTCAGACTCCCCCAACACTCTTCTTTGATGATACAGTTGTAACGACCATGTCCAGTGATAGACAGGCACTCTGGTCCTTGACTAGTCTTTTTAAACGAAGCCTGGCACACAGACCACCCCACTTACCGTTTATTAAAGCAATATTATATGACTCATAGCTGTACACAAAACCAAGCTGAGTCTGTTCATTGTTAAAAGGGTTAACCTTACTCCATACCTTACTGAAAGAGATATCACTGAGCCGGACTGCAAAGTTAGTCTATGCTGCCATTAGTGTTAGCCAACAGTTATATTTTTTCAAGTAACTCTCCCCACTTTACGTTCCCTAAGGAATCGCTATGTTATGGCTGTATTGGATTCCAAGACATAAATAGATATTTGAAGCAATGTTTGTTTACAACAATTTAAGTCCTTTTACCAGCAGAGTTAACAAGTCAAATGATCAGCGAGCTCTGTGCCCCAATTAAACAGCTGAGAACAGACAGTAACTCACGTCTCATCCACGTCCTGCAAGTTTCTACCTAATGGATGGCATTTTGTAAAGAAGGTAGAAGCGAGGGTCAGTTATCATGGGAACTGGAGAGCACGACTGCAGGGTTCATTGAGCCGGAAAGTTTCATCCACCCCCGATTAAATAATCGTCGTGCATTTGGAAGGAGAGAAAGGGTCGCCCTCTTCAGATTTGTTCGCTGAGCGCATTTTGTTCGGCTTATAGCCGTGTTTTCATTGCGTGCACCTGAAACCAGAGTGCTTTGTAAAAGTCATTTCAGCAAGTGTTAGCAGGAAAAGTCTGAAGGAGAAAATCTTGCAGTGAATTAACCCTACCGTGTTTGTACATGTTCCGTTGCAAATGGTAGATGCCCCAGTTTCACTGTTCAATGTATCTGCGCTGTGAAACATTTTAGTTGATGTTTGAAGCTGTAGCAGGGTAGGTATATTCTCCTTCTAAACCTTTCTTGTTGGCTCATTCAAGTAAAATGACAAATATATAAACACATCAAGGTTTTGGTATATATTCACTAAAATTGGAATTGAGGACAGTTGACAAAGAAATCACAAACACGGTCCAAAAAGCTACATTTTTAGCTTTCACAGAGTGCATTTTTAATTTGGGACTCCTATTAATGTATTTTATTGAAAAAAAAGACATTCTGTACTGAAAAACATTAGCCTGACATGCAAGCTGAGCAGATGCTTTTTTAACAGGGCTCCCAGTGTTCAAGCCGATTTCCCCTACAAAATACAAGTTTCACAAGCTTGTACATGCACCAGTCACACTATCCAAGTTAGGGGTTCCCCCGGTGAGTTCCCAGATACCTGAACCAAGTATTTTTGTGATTGGGAGTCTGAGATGGCTTGCAGCAGCCTGCGGATGACAGAGCTGGGGAGAGGCGGCCGCTCTTATCATCCAGAGACTGGTGGTCCTATGGACTGGTGGGGGTGATCCCAGTCCACTCCTGGGATGCAACCCGGCTATATCAGACACGCAAGTGGAATGTAGATATGGAGATGCAGAAAATGGTGGATGCCTGGTGCTCTCTCAAATGCTGGGACATCGAAGCCAGGCTGGACAGCATATTTGCTGCCTTCTGGAGCAAACTGGACCTCAGGAAGTGGCGGGTTCCGGAGCAAGAAGCGAGAGGCCACTTACCTCAGGAGCTGCCTCTATGATCCCGTTGCAGACCCGTGGTACTCAAAGTGAAAAGAGCTTGAATATGGCAGCAGACAAGACTCTGCTCACCAAGATTTTATACTATTCATCTGACCCCAGATTCTGCTAAACCTCCCAGCAAGAGGGTGTCAGTTCACGCTGATCCATGCAGCCTGATACAACCCTAATCAACTTTCCCAAATAGCTGGTACCCCAATCCACTCTGGGTTTTGAGACCACTCAGAGGGATCCTGCATGCCTCACTATGCTTGCTTTGTTCCTACAACATGCCTGCAGGCTTTCCTTTAGGCGGGCTAGTGGTCCTGGCGTGGAGACTCTCCTGGCAGGATTCTGGATTGCCCCAGGTGAGGCATTGGCTAAACTTGGGACTGAGTTCAAGAATTAACCATCCAATGCATGGTATCTCAGTATTGCATCCACAGTACCTACATCATGAGGGAAGCATATTATTTGTTTTGTTTATCTTCTTTCTATCCTCAATGTGGGTTTCACACCTAGATCACCTGGGGGGCCTCCTGGGATGGTTTATCATAATAGCCATACCCTGATATTTCATGCATAACCTGCACTGCTTTGTAGTTTGCATTCCTACATTTAAAAATGTGCTAATATCTCTTTACACTCAATCTAATATGACCTGTCACTTCATTATATTTTCAACTGTGTGCACCATGTAAACCCTTGTCTTTGCTGTGCACGACAAAAATAAAGAATTAAAAGAAAATAAAACAACATTATTCTGTAAATACATTAAAATGTATGATAACCAAAGCAGAACAAATGTAAAAACAGAAAGAATAAAGTTAAATCAATAGTTCTGTTCTTAGGGATGTAGAGATAATGACACAGAAGTCGGTGCAGTTGGAATGCATGAACCGGTATAATTCCCAATCTATCCAGACTGCAAAATCTGTTCAGTCGGGTAGACAGGACTGTCTTTTATAAATATCTGCCAAACTATGAATTCTCTAGCCATTTGGCTAACACAATCACAATTAGAAAGTTGAATTAGTAAATAAAACACTGAATTTCACCAATACAAACTATTTTTCATGTGATACTCGCGCATTGAATTGAATTGTTTTTTCTGTTTCTGTTTCTACACTCTCTCCATGCTGGCAGAACTTATAACCATGATTGGCAGGGAATCTAAATGTTCCAGGATGGAGGTAGATACAGTGAACTGGATTCCTACATTTAATTTCATAATTAACCAACTCAAAAATGCATACTGATCTAAGCAAGCAGCAGTTTCCCTTTAAATGCAACCAGTAGTAATATAAGATAGAGACAAAACCCGCTTTAGACACAAATATAGTTTTATCTCTAACCATTGTTACATTGTATTTGTTTTATTGTTTTGTAGCAGGTTCTATTTGTCGACACAGAACACATTTATTTATGAATTATTTTTTATTCCTGTCTCGACAGCAGAGGAATTAATGGGTCACTCCGGAACTATTTCAGTTGGAACCCTGACAGGCAGTCTTTGGAGGGTCCTTGTGAAGATTTAGCATAGATCGAACAAACCTCCCCCTTCTTCCTGGTTCCTTTATGAATAATGTACAAGTCAAAGCTGCTTTTTCATAATTATCCAGAGATAAATAGAAGGTTTGGCTTATCGTGGTCCTTGCCACCTGACAATTGTAGCAGGAGTTTTATGAGAAAATTAGCTGTAGTTTTTGGATGTCTGCATAGGGAGTGATAGTAACTCTGGAAACCTGAGTTAAAAGGACATTCCAGATCCTCAAAGCACTGTAGCAAGCTGAAATGCTTTATTTGTGAAAAGTGTGTCCTCTTTTTTTTCATTTAACAAAATGTACAGTTCTCAACTGAAATTATCCCTTTTCAAAATAAACATTGTTACACCCCCCTGGCTGTCAATCAGACAGCCGGTCCTGTTTCTTCCTGGTTTTGTTAGCACAGTTGAGCTAAACCAAAGAGGCAGCAATTGCCCAGAGCACCTGCGTTGCAAAGACTTTCTGATTGAGCTGCTTTGGGAAGTCTGTGATTGAACAGCCACAGAAAGTCTGGGCGGGGTTAGAAGGGGAGGGCTTGCAAAGGCAACGGACAAAAGATCTTTTAAAATCTATTTTTAGATATACCCCCAATAGAAAATGCATGCATGTTATCATTTGGGGTATGTGTACTAAACAGTTAGCTTTTATGTTTTGCATTTGGACAGTGCAGTGTCTCTTTTATCGATATTGCGCTTATAAGGACGACCTGTTCCGCGATTTATAATCTTCATTGACTAATGACCTTGAATTTTTATTATATATACAGTGTCCATGTTGTCTGCATATACTTTGCAGTTATGAAGAGGGGATTGTAGGCCATGTTACAACAAGCTTACACTCTATGATGATTTGAGGTAGGCCGATATATATCTTGTGGTTGTCTGACCAGGATTCCCACTTAAAAGGCAGAGATGTTACCACTGTATAATTAAAGAGATACCCGCACTCCAGCTTTAATAAAATTCTAATTTTATTAGATACAAACAAAAATCAATGCACTCTGTGTATGCCTCTAGTATTGGTAATAATACCACCTTTTATTTGTAAAGCATGCACAATCAAATTAACATACTAAACATATACAAATAAATTCTAATACAGAGCATGAAAAATTACAAACACAAAAAGAAGTAATAGACTGCTGTACAACATTATCTGACAAATGAACATGAGAAATACCCAACGTTTCGACTGCAAAGCCTTTGTCA